GCAAGGAAGGTGATCATGGAGATTGCACCTGAAACAGCTCTTTGATTTTAAGCCTAGAATGATATATCTATTTTCATATACACGTATGTTTCTCTGAAGTAAGCTTTCAAATCGAAGTTTCAATTTTATGCCGCTCCCATAACCTGTAAGGATGAGTTAACATTGTGTGTAGACTTGGTTTTTGCAGACAGTGCTTTCAAAAAAGGAATAATGTTGGTGTTGGTCCTTTTTTTTATCTATGCAGCGAACATGCATTATTTAGGCGCTTACATCACAAGCTGTTATACAACTACTATGTTATCTCCCTATAAGTGCACTATATTTTGCTGCAAAATATTCTGGCACCGATCTCGCCATGACGGAATATGTATTCGTGCCCATTATGACGGCTCATTGTGCGATTGACCCCATATGTTCAATTTACCTCATCCCACCTTACAAGAAATGGATTAGTGACCGACTCTGGAGTCATATTCTTTCAGCTCATCTTTCAGCCGTCAATCCTCGGAATGACCATATTATTAGCACAGTAGCTGTTTTCGTAACTCCTCAAAAAAGTGAAAAATGAACGCTTTACGGCTTTCGATTGCATAACAAAGATATCGATCAGAAGAGATTGAAGGTTAGGCTTCCTGCTACGTTACCCCAGCTTGGCGACTGTACAGAAACGTCATAATATAAACAACGACTTCATAACTTGATGCGTGCAAGTGGTATCATATCTTTGCATAACATGAATTGGATTTTAGTTTTCTGGTAATAAGGAACAACTTTTAATTCTCGTAGTTTCGTAGAGAAAGATATTTTGATAATATGTTATGATTTTTGTAAAAATGAACTCAATAGTCTTATTTTTATATTTTTTCATACAGTACCGTTCAAAAAGAAATCACCTCAAACCTTTTTTGCCATAACTCATCTCGAACTCAATGCTTTTAACTGATTTTTTAAAATGTTGTCAACAGTAATGATATTCAATGTCTCCATCACAACACTCACAGAACTCTTTTTTATTTCGTTCAAAAGGCCACTTTTAACATTTTTTATGAACGGGACAAAATAGCATCAGTTTCAATAATTTGAAAAAAAATCACTTCACTTGAACGCTATCATCATGAGATTTCATCGATGACGGCTTGGTATCTGCGGGGCATTGATTCGACCAACTTGTCGATCAGGCACTCATCGATTTCCTTCCATTCTTCTTCAAATAGGTCAAACTTCTGAGCAGCATTTGTGACTGTTTTATCGGCTATCCTTTTCTTAAGTCCTTACCACGAGGGCCCACTGGGACTAGGTCAGAAGACTGGCTGGATGAGTCAAGGCATCAAATTTTCCGATGATTAGCCACTCGCGCGCCCCTTCTAGATCTGTGTCCGGGATCGTTATAGCAAATTTTCTTCCGTGCACAGGGAAGGAGAAAGGTTGCATGGATTTCTCCAAAATGTCTACGTACGTCTACTGGGCCGTAGTGGTGAGAAAGTGGTGCATTAACCCCACGCCTAGTCTCAGAGACCATCCCCAAACCAATACTGAGCCGGCACCATGCCTGAGAATTGTCAAGTGGTACTTGGGGTCGGAACCTGTGTTTTAAAAGGTCGTCTACGAACGGAACCTACGTGAACCAAGCAAAACAATCTTTGATTAGTCGCTCTAGATGACTTTGCGTCATTGGTGAAGGTCCAGTGAAGGTGCTCACGCGCCCGTTAAGTCGAGCTCGTCTGTTTTTTCAGAGCTCCAGATCCTTTTGACAAGTCTTCCTCCATATATTCCAGCTACCCACAGGTGTCTGTTGATGGTACGTCTAGATGGTAGCGACGTCGCCATCGACATTTGGGCAGTTATATCGGAAGATGCTCGTTTGGAATCTTGAGTCGACGCACAAATGATCTTCCTATCGTCCTCAGGAGCGGCAATCCGTATCCTTCCCAAGCTGGCTTGCTTGATTGGACCTATGAGAGACTCGATACCTCTGATAACCTTCGTGATCGTAGAAAATGGTACAGCAAACAGCCTTGGATGTTGAGCATAGGTCAATTCCTGCTTACTGCCCGTGGCGATGGCGGAGAGGTGCTCCACGGTCAGAAAGCGAGAGCCAGAGTTTTGTCTCTTCACTGAATTAGCTATTACAATAGAAGAATCACCAATATTTTTAGACTCGAAAAACACTGTGAAACCTACTTCAAGAACATGCCCCTTTCGCATTTTTTCAAAAAGAAAATTCACCTACTTGGCCGGAAGTGAGCTACCGCCAATTCTGCATCGCAGGAGAGTCGGTAGTATTTGAAGAATGTGCTGTCAAAAAATCAGTTGAAAAGATTGAGTTTGAAATGAGTTATGGCAGAAGAGGTTCAAGGTGATTTCTTTTTGGACTTTACTGATTTCCATTCATTTCTTCCATTCATTTTCTATTTTCCCTTATGTTTTTCTCGGTTTGCCTTCAATGTGATTTGGCTGCAATTTCATGATAGTGAAGCTTTTGATAATCATTTTTCTTAAACTATGACTGAGAACAAAACCTCCATTGTGAATCAGATCTAATGCTGTGGTATGAACAACTATGGAAACGCACTTCTGACCAGGGAAGGATCCCAAGTCGAAGTGGGCATTTAAAGTGAGACCTACACTGGTGGACGTGTTTCTGGATGCTAATTTCAAAACTGCTTTCCAAATTTGCCGATCGTTTCTCTGAACGGAGTTATGAGGGTGGTTTCAGGAGGCTTAACATAAGAAAACTTAAATTACATGGACGTGCTTCGATTGACAACGGCGGCTTGGTGTAGTGTTAAGCGTGTCGCTTCATGTGCGAGAGGCTAGGGATCGGTTTTTGTGGGAGACGGATTTTTGCATATATAGTATTTTTCTCTTAAGGCTAGAAATACTCTCATGGCGATTTTATCACGTTTCATGATCTTTTAATGCTTCTGCTGATATTTATCCACATGAAGTAGTACTTCAGTTTTACTGCACGCCATGCACTCTATATTCACAGTAGGATAACTTTTGCCACTTTATGAACAAATGGGATACACTAGCACGAAATACTTGGAACAAATAAGCTTCTCACAATGGGAGCAACGGGAAAAAAGAACACGTCACAGCCAACTGTTTTACACTTACTAACCCCAAATCGAGCGGAGGTAGTGTAGTGGCAAGTGGCGCACTATCTCACATCCGCAATCAGGGGTTCGAATCCCGGATCGATGCCCGCCTAGGCCAACCAAGCCTTCGATCCTTCCGGGGTCGGCAAATTGGTACTAGACTCGTCTGGGGCATAAAAGCCCTGAATTGTACATCGGCTGGCCACCGCAAGTCATTGTATAGGCCATATACGCACTCATTACACCACTACGATTCTGAATGGAAGTCGAGTGCGTGGGCGCATCCTTCAGACGGGATTGATTAACATCCTTTATCCTTTTAACCTCAAATCAGAAGGAAAACAATTGTGTAGGCGTCCCGAAAACAGGTGAGTACTCAAGTAGCCGGCGGCATGCCGCTAATAAAAGAGTAATTTCCATATCTATCAGAACAGAACTGAAAAGTAGACAAAACGGGTGGTGCTTTTAACCATACTTTTAAAAGGAGGTAAGAAATGAGGTTCTATCGGCTGTATCGGCCTCGTGGTAGCCTCGAGCAGGGTGTCATTCCCTTCACCTGCTTTTGTGGAGGGAGACGCACTGAATCTGGTCTTCGAATGATGTCCACGAGCCCATTATCAACAGTGCCGGTGTTGGTGAGTCTGGAGCTGCCACGCAGTATTGCAGCCAATCTGACATCAAAACCCATTCTAGCATCATCGTTGTTCATCATATGCGTTCTACTCGCCCGGAGCTCCAAATTTTGCGTATGAAGGAATCTCCCACTCGGTAACAGGTAGGTAGGTAGAAGAAGATATCAGCAGAGCATCAAAAGTTCATAGATCGTGACAAAATCCCACGAGGGTATTTTCTGGTCTTTATAGAAAAAATTCTATATAATGCAAAAATCCGTCCCCCACAAAAGTCGACCCCTAGTCTCTCGCACATGAAGCGACATGCTTACCACTACACCAAGCCACCGTTGGCAATCGAAGCACATCCATGTAATTTAAGTTTCCTTATGTTAAGCCTCCTGAAACCACCCTCATAACTCCGTTCAGAGAAACGCTCGGCAAATTTGGAAAGTAGATTTGAAATTAGCATCCAAAAACACGTCTACCAGTGTAGGTCTCATTTTAAATGGCCACTTCGACTCGGGATCCTTCACTGGTGAGAGCTTTTCACCTAGTTTAAACTACAGTGCATATTTGAAGTATTTGTATTTTTTGTTGAAAATTGAACGAATCTCATTTCCATTTGTAAATTTCAGTGCACTCTGAGAGTGGAGTATCAAATAAGTTATAAGTTATAAGCTTATTACGCCTGCGGAAGGCAAACGTGAGGAAGAAAACAAAGTGCAATGTAGATGTCGAGCACTTGCGCAGGCAATCAATACGCAGTACAAAGATAAATCAGTCAAATAATGTCTCAGGAAACGTTAGGACCAGTTCCCTTCATCAGCAACTTAACTACTTGGCGATTGAACTGTGCTAACGATTAAGAGACAGATATTTTCTATTCCAGCCCTGAAGGTGAAGCTACTCGCTCGCAAATTAATTTTAGGACGTGCTAACGAAATCTTCATGGAGCCACCCCCAGTCTTAGAATGTGTCAGCTTGAAGACATTGGCGCCGTGACCACGCGTGCCATGTACAAGTTTGTGAACAATACAAAGATCGAAAACCCTGCGTCGCGTTTCTGAAGATGCCAGCCCAAGATACTGATTCCTGATAGCTGCCTTTGGTATTCTGGAGTACAAAAAAAATACCTATTCGAATGAGTAGCTTACGAGTAAGGTTATTCTGGATCTTTTCAAGGCATAGACATGCTTCCTTTTTTTGCTTTTGAAAACCGCAGTGCTGGATTCAACCAGTGGTCGCACATCCGTCTTGTAAGCGCACAACAAGGCTTCTTTATTAGCTAAAGACAGCCCTTTGAAAATTTGAATGTCCGAAGATTGGCTACTCTGATCCTCTTTTTAATGTGCTCCGTGAAGTCCAGTTTGTCGTTGTAGTAAAAGCCGGTCTCTGATGGATTGTACAGCAGAGAGTAGGACACATCAGCAGTGTACGTTCGCGTTGGTGAAGTAAAAGAGCGTAGTTGCATGTACACTGTTTTGTGTGGCGCTGTAGGCAGTTGCCAGTTCTTCGACCAACTTACCGTTGGATCTATTGCTCTTTGGAGCACCTGATATTCTTCTTCTACTGAGATTGCCTTACAAATTTTTATGTCCTCGGCATACATCTTCGGAGTGACGCATGCTTTACGAAGAATATCGGGCTCAGCCGTGAACACATTGAAAAGCACAGGTGACAGTACACCTCCCTGGGGCACACCTCTTACTACCCGCAACACTTCCGAAAAGGACTGACCAAGCTTAAATTGAAACGTTTCATTACTCAGATACTCTGAGATCCATTCTGATGATCGCGTGGAATTTCAAAGCCTTCAGCTTTATGATCAGTTTCTTGTGCGAAGCTCTATCGAAAGCTTTGGCAAAGTCGAAGTAAATGACGTCGCAAGGAAGTTTTTCATCAACAGCTTTTGTCCAATCGTACGGGCACTCCTCCAATACGACTACCGCGGTATGACACTAGCGCCATGGAGGTGGCAGCTGTTCAGTACGCGTGGCAGGAGGCACAGGACTTGACACACGATTACGACTTGCTCGTAAATGGACTTCTACACTGCGCAACGGCATCGGCTGTTCCAGGAAGGGCCAACTCGAGGAGCAGGATCGATGGAAATGCTCGCACCCTCCTCCTACAACGGGCTGCCGTTCACCGTAACTCTGCGTCTTCACTTCTGGAACGTGCTACGATCAATAAAGCGTGCCGCATCGCTGTGAGAGAGTCGATACAGCGATACAAGGACACCCGACTGAAGGAAGCAGCAGAGGCGAGAGCGAGCCTCAAGCGATGTCGTAAGAACCTTCATGACTCTCGCTCGATCATCGCAGTCATGAGGGACGCGATGGGCAGACCGCAGACATCGAGAACGAAGATCGAGGAGATTGCCGTCAGCTACTACACGAACCTCTTTCGGTCGACTGTATCGGTTTTCCGTATTCCTACGCCAACACAAGAGGTGGCTCCGAGGATAGAAGAATGGGAGGTAGAACGCGCCATACGTCAGATGAAACCGAGAAAGGCACCTGGACCGGACCGCATCTCAGCGGACTTCTTGAAATCGGCGTCCCACACCATCATCAAGCAGCTCACCAAGCGCTTCAACAAGTACCTGGAC